CTAAATGGCTGAAAATTGAGAAATGAAACTGCAGGGGCATGATCTATGTGACAAAACTGCTTCATTAAGCTAAAGCTGTTTTAGTGGCTATAGTGTCCCTTTAACATGGGATGGTGCCAGGGGACTCTTGACCCCATAGCCATCACAGCAGGCTGTAGTGGTTAGACTGCTTAAAGTGCACTTTTAAACTCACTTTTCAAGTATAATCACTACTGGCTCTTTATCTCACCCATGAGGCCCTGAGGAGCGGTTCATCAATTTACATGGTTTGAATCTTATCTACCTGAGATACCTTATAGTCACAAGTTGTCACATCCACAGGGGTATAATTAGTATAAATATTATTACAACATTGATATGATACGACCTATACTTGCACTCAGAGGCGGCTCTCTAATTAGGCGATTTAGGCGGCCGCCTAAGGCGGCCGCCTAAGGCCTCGCGCTGTGTGGGGCCTCGCGGCCGCCTAAATCACCTGAGGGCAGACTGACATGTCGGGTCCTCGGTCTATGACCGAGGACCCGACACAGGAGGGGGCCCGGCGGCTTGCCCTGTATGCCGCCGGGTGCGAGGCCCCTCTTGTCAGTCCGCCCGGGGAGAGCCGGCCTCAGTCTGCAGCTCCGCCGGGTGTGAGCTGCAGACTGAGGTATCTCGCACTCTCCAGCCAATCAGAGCGTTGCCGTGGGTTACCACGGCAACGCTCTGACTGGAGATCGCGAGACACTCACCACGTGGTCTGCAGCTCTGCATCCGGCGGAGCTGCAGACCGGAGAGACCACTGGACCACCAGGGAGCCATCCAGGACACTGGACCACCAGGGACAGATTGACCCCACTGGACCACCAGGGAAAAAGGTACATTTTGATCCCTGCACCCCACCTGTCACCCCCCCTCACTGCCACCTCACCCTGTCACCCCCCTCACCCTGCCACCTCACCCTGTCACCCCCCTCACCCTGCACCCCACCTGTCACCCCTCACTCCACTGTCACCCCCCCTCACCCTGTCACCCCCCTCACCCTGCCACCTCACCCTGTCACCCCCCCACCTCACCTCACCCTGTCACCCCCCTCTCACCCTGCCACCCCACCTGTCACCCCCTCACCCTGCCTCCTCACCTGTCGCCCCCCCCTCACCCTGCCCTCACCCTGTCCTCCACTCACCCTGCCACCTCACCCTGTCACCTCCCCTCACCTGTCACCCCCGTCCCCCGTCACCATCATCTCACCCTGTCACCCCCTCACCCTGCCACCCCACCTGTCACCATCATCTCACCCTGCCACCCCACCTGTCACCCCCTCACCCTGCCACTTCCCCTTGTCACCACCTAACCCTGCCACTTCACCCTGTCACCCCTCTCTCACACTTCCACCCCACCTGTCACCCCATCTCACCCTGCCACCACACCTATCACCCCCATCTCACACTTCCACCCCACCTGTCAACTCTCTCACCCCGTCACCCTGCCACCCCACCTGTCACCCCCCTCTCATGCTGCCACCCCATCTGTCACTCCCTGTTACCCTATCACCCCATCTCACCACCTCACCCTGCCACCCCACCTGTCACCACCATCTCACCCTTCCACGTCACCCCGTCACCCTGCCACCCCACCTGTCACCCCCTTTTATGCTGTCACCCCTGCTGCCACCCCACCTGTCACCCCCTTTCATGCTGTCACCCTGCCACCCCACCTGTCACTCCCCCGACCCTGCCACCCCACCTATCACCCCATCTCACCTTGCCACCCGCATCTCACCCTGCCACTTCACCCTGTCACTCCCTCACCTTGCCACCTCACCCTGTCACCCCATCTCATCCTGTCACCCCTCTCTCACACTTCCACCCCACCTGTCACCCTGCCACCCCACCTCTCATCCTGTCATCCCCCTTCCAGCCCACCTCTCACCCTGCCACCTTGCCCTGTCATTCCCCTCTCACTCTGTCACCTCACCCTGTCACCCCCTGCCACCCCACCTGTCACACCCTGTCACCTCCCTCTCACCCTGTCACCCCACCTCTCATTCTGTCATCCCCCTTCCACCCCACATGTCATCCCTCACTCCCTCTCACTCTGCCACCCCCTCACCCTGTCACCCCCTCTCACCCTGCCACCCCACCTGTCACCCCCTCACCCTGCCTCCTCTTCTCACCCTGCCACCCCCACCCCACATCTCTCACATTTCCACCCCACATGTCACCCAATCTCGCCCTGCCACCCCACCTAACACCCCCATCTCACCCTTCCACCCCACCTGTCACCCTGCCACCCCACCTGTCACCCCCTCTCATGCTGCCACCCCATCTCACCACCTCACCCTGCCACCCCACTTGTCACCTCCTGTAACGGACCGTTTTGCACAAAAGGGGAAAAAACCGCTTAGACGATAATCCCCTTTTTAGAGACAGGCACAGCTACTGTAGAATCACCAAAACTCACGAACTGGATACAAAATAGCACTCCAACTCCCGAACTGGAACCTCCCAAATAGCTGCTAGCAGACGAACAGGAAAAGCAGACGAACAGCTTACACTTCTGGCAATCAGTCTCTAACAGCATACAGTGAATCCCCCCAAGAACGAGACAAGGCTCCGTGTTGAGGGTCAAGCAGTGGTCTGAGGTGCTGGCACACCCAGCCTGGTTTTTATTACAGTGTTTTCAAATACAGGACCGCCCACAGGGAGGTATAAAACAACCAATTACATCACAGTTACATCCCACATATTCCCTCCCCTTATCCTGAGAGGAAGCTCAATTATACATACAGTTAAAACATACTTTCTACCCAACTTTCATAACTCCAAAACCATACATCACATTCACATAAAATTACATATTCACAATCAATCCATTCAGGGGAACAACATATTCAAAAATGGCACAAATCAGACAAGGGGTTCAAAAGTTAGTAAAAGTCCTTTGTGACTAAATGAAGCATGGCTTTCTGGCCCAAACCAGTTTCAGAGTCTTCTATCCTGGAGAGTAATTCAATTATCTCCCAGGACAGACACAAGACTCCATTAAGCACATGGTTGCAAAAAGACACAAAACACTTTAAAATACATAGTCACATTTATTACATAAAACACAGACATGTAACATATCCCCAGATAGCTCAGGTCCGAGCGCACATTATTAAGTGAATGGCGCTCAGACCACACGAATACAGTTTAATCGCCATGGAGCTAAAGTCTTTACAGTCAGTTTCATACGAATGGGCTCCATGGGATTCCTATCTGGGGTATAACACATTCACACAAAAATACCGAACACCGGGTCATTCGTGTGCTTTCACCGAACAAGAAGGGAGGTCGGCGGCTTCAGCGGGGTTCGCGCAAAACTGTGTCCGATTTTAGTTCCATGAAAATAGAGGCGAACACCGCTGTTCATTCGTATGGTTTAAAATGGCCGCGACCTCGTGTTCGGGATACGAACGGCGGCCACCCAGCGTTCATCAATTAAGCTGCGGTTAACCGCAGCTTCAGGGAGGTTAATTGCCGGCACACTCCAGCTCCCAGGTGGTCCAGTCATTCGTACAGTTGTTCGGTAAATTGAAACTACCGAACAACCGGCAGAAAAGCATGAATATGGCTTTTCTGCATGGAGAAATAAAGTCTTTTAAAAGGGGGCCATAGTCCAAAGGCAGCAGGCGAGCAACCAGGCTTCTCCAATGCAATGTGGCGAGATTGGTCTCGTCACATCTCTCCCCTTTTTCAAACAGACTAACAGGGTATCTGACCTCCTGCCGGTCAGTGCCCTTGTTAGTCCAGCAGCCCACCCACAACAAATAATCAACAGCACAGCCCACCCACAATAAATGGTTACTACACCTGGGTAAAAGGGAAGCTTGTCCATGTCCAGGTGCCTCACCACGGCTGTGCTGGGTACGGGTACGCTGACTTGGTGGGTTGCTGCGTGGGCAGAGACCAGCGGCACTCTGCCCTGTTACCAGCGCTACTGGGAGGGTAGCCTGGTGGAAGCCTGGTTGTTGGAGGGGGAGACCGACTGTCTCCCCTTTAAATACACCGCTCTGCTGCTGCTGCTGGGGACTGACTGTCTCCCCTTTAGATGCACAGTCCTGCTGCTGGAGACCGACCGTCTCCCCTTTGGTTACCCATCTCTGCTGCTGGAGGGGGAGACCGACTGTCTCCCCTTTGGCTAGACAGCCCTGTCGCTGGGGAGAGGGGGTAACAGGCTCCTCTCCCAATATAACACTCTGCCGCTGGGGAAAGGAGACTGGGCTCTCTATTCCCGGTAGGACACTCTGCCGCTGGGGAATGGAGACTGGGCTCCCTATTCCCTGCATATCACACTGCCGCTGGGGAATGGAGACTGGGCTCCCAATTCCCTGCAATTCATTCTGCTGCTGGGGGACGGGGGCAACTATCTCTGTCCCCTGTAACTCAGCCTGCCGCTGGGGAATGGAGACTGGGCTCCCAATTCCCTGCAATATCTCCCGCTGGGGAATGGAGCTCGGGCTCCCAATTCCCTGCAATATCTCCCGCTGGGGAATGGAGCTCGGGCTCCCAATTCCCTGCAATTTCTCCCGCTGGGGAATGGAGACTGGGCTCCCAATTCCCTGCAATATCTCCCGCTGGGGAATGGAGCTCGGGCTCCCAATTCCCTGCAATTTCTCCCGCTGGGGAATGGAGCTCGGGCTCCCAATTCCCTGCAATTCATTCTGCTGCTGGGGGGCAGGAACAACTACCTCTGCCCCCTGTAACTCAGCCTGCCGCTGGGGAATGGAGCTCAGGCTCCCAATTCCCTACAATATCTCCCGCTGGGGAATGGAGCTCGGGCTCCCAATTCCCTGCAATTTCTCCCGCTGGGGAATGGAGCTCGGGCTCCCAATTCCCTGCAATTTCTCCCGCTGGGGAATGGAGACTGGGCTCCCAATTCCCTGCAATTCACTCTGCCGCTGGGGAATGGAGACTGGGCTCCCAATTCCCTGCAGTACCTGTCGCTGGAGTTCTTCCCAACGTGCCAGCTGACCTTCTCTTTCTGCCCGGTGTTGCAGATTCTTGAACACTAGATTCCTTATAAGCTGCACCGATTTCTCCGGTGGATTGGGTCCGTAGTACTTCAGCCGCAATCCGATCATATTGTCAAACTCTCTCCTTGAGTAGCTGTACGCCACTGCTGGTTCCATGCTGTTGCTGTCAGGGTCGCTGTACTGGGACATGCGTTGCCCTCAAATTGTAAATCCACGGAATGGTGTCTCCTGTAGCTGTCCTTCTGGCTGTAGGAACGATCCCTCCGCTGCCACCAATTGTAACGGACCGTTTTGCACACAAGGGGTAAAAACCGTTTAGGCGATCGGCCCCCTTTCCAGAGATCCAGGCACAGCTACTGCAGAACACCAAAACTCACGAACTGGATACAAAATAGCACTCCAACTCCCGAACTGGAACCTCCCAAATAGCTGCTAGCAGACGAACAGGAAAAGCAGACGAACAGCTTACACTCCTGGCAATCAGTCTCTAACAGCATACAGTGAATCCCCCCAAGAACGAGACAAGGCTCCGTGTTGAGGGTCAAGCAGTGGTCTGAGGTGCTGGCACACCCAGCCTGGTTTTTATTACAGTGTTTCAAATACAGGACCACCCACAGGGAGGGATAAAACAACCAATCATATCACAGTTACATCCCACATATTCCCTCCCCTTATCCTGAGAGGAAACTCAATTATACAAACAGTTAAAACATACTTTCTACCCAACTTTCATAACTCCAAAACCATACATCACATTCACATAAAAGTACATATTCTCAATCAATCCATTCAGGGGAACAACATATTCAAAAATGGCACAAATCAGACAAGGGGTTCAAAAGTTAGTAAAAAGTCCTTTGTGACTAAATGAAGCATGGCTTTCTGGCCCAAACCAGTTTCAGAGTCTTCTATCCTGGAGATAAGTAATTCAATTATCCCCCAGGACAGACACAAGACTCCATTAAGCACATGGTTGCAAAGAGACACAAAACACTTTAAAATACATAAAGTCACATTTATTACATAAAACACAGACATGTAACATATCCCCAGATAGCTCAGGTCCGAGCGCACATTATTAAGTGAATGGCGCTCAGACCACACGAATACAGTTTAATCGCCATGGAGCTAAAGTCTTTACAGTCAGTTTCATACAAATGGGCTCCATGGGATTCCTATCTGGGGAATAACACATTCAAACAAATCTACTGAACCCCAGGCAGAAAAGCACGAATACAGCTTTTCTGCAGGCAAAAATAAAGTCTTTTAAAAGGGGGCCATAGTCCAAAGGCAGCAGGCGAGCAACCAGGCTTCTCCAATGCAATGTGGCGAGATTGGTCTCGTCACAGTCAGTATCAGCAGGTAAGTAGCGCTGTGGCCATTGTGTGAACTGCAATGGGGTCAGAACTGGTAAACAATTTGCACATCCAAGAACTGGAAGGAAGTATGACATTCTGGACTTTTGTCAAATGGAATTTGTAGTGTATCTACTGAAATGCCTGTGTGGTCTAGACATATATCGGCGAGAACACATGTACTTTTGCCACCAGATTTCGGGAATACAAAAGCAATATTCTCACTTAGAAAATACAGTACCCACAAGCATGTCACTTTATAGAGAAGGGACATGCAGTCTCACAGCTACGATACATGATTATTCAGACGATGAAGCTGCCATAAAGGGACAGCTGAGAGAAAATACATTGAAAAGATGTGAATTGCATTGGACCTATCATGAATTACAGACACAAGGGGGTGATTGAGGAGAGGGATTTGTCTCCATTTCTTTAAAAGTGCCTTTTCTGTCTGCTTATGGTATCACTGTTGTTTTTAATTATTAACTTGGTTGTTTTATGTGTCATTTGTGGTATTGGATTTAGTACATGGGCTTGCTCATGGGTGATGAATTAAGTACGCAGTGCGGCATGATTTGGAATCATTGCATGTAATATGTGACTGAGTGTGTGGCGGGCCTCCTAGCAACCCGATGGGATGCCCCTGCTCAGCCCAGTCCTTCCCTAAATGGGAGAAGGTTAAAATACAGAAAGACCCATTTCCCACCCAGTAACCGGACGACACACAGTCCTGGGGGTCTTTATCCCATGAGCCTCTGTATCTGGGAGCCCCAGCACGGGAAAGCTTCCCGCCTCCTGGACTCAGTCACAGAAAGCCCGCTGTAACGGATCGCCTGGCACCCCGACTGGATACCTCCGTTGAAGGATGCTCCTAGCGCTTCCTGAGGACTCCAAGCACTGCAGCAGACACCACAATCACTGAACCAGAGAAGCGTATACCTTCTCTCAAGCATAAGAATGCTGTAGACAGTTGAATAGGAACCATACGAATAGGTTTACTCTCCTAGCAGTCAAACTGGAACAGCATACAATAAATCCTTCCCCCAATAATGAGACGACACTTCACTTTGAGGGTTAAAACAGGAACTCCCTGTACTGTCACATACAGTCTCTTTTATTCCCAATCCACAAACATAGTACAGCCCACAGGGCGTTACAAAACAACCAATCACATCACAGTTACATCCCACATATTCCCTCCCCTTATCCTGAGAGGAAACTCAATTATACATACAGTTAAAACATACTTTCTACCCAACTTTCATAACTCCAAAACCATACATCACATTCACATAAAATTACATATTCACAATCAATCCATTCAGGGGAACAACATATTCAAAAATGGCACAAATCAGACAAGGGGTTCAAAAGTTAGTAAAAAGTCCTTTGTGACTAAATGAAGCATGGCTCTCTGGCCCAAACCAGTTTCAGAGTCTTCTATCCTGGAGATAAGTAATTGAATTATCTCCCAGGACAGACACAAGACTCCATTAAGCACATGGTTGCAAAAAGACACAAAACACTTTAAAATACATAAAGTCACATTTTACACATAACACACAGACATTTCACATATCCCCAGATAGCTGGGATCTGAGTGCACATTATTAGATGAATGGCACTCAGATCACACAAACAAGCCTTTCTGCAGGGGAAATAAACAGTTTAACCTGCAGGGCCATAGTCCAAAGGGAGCAGGCGAGCAACCAGGCTTCTCCAGTTCACAGTGGCGAGGTTGGTTTCGCCACACTTCTCCCCTTTACCAACTAGACTAACAGGGTATCTGACTTCCTGCCGGTCAGTGCCCTGGTTAGTCCAGCAACCCACCCACAAAACAGAAACAGCAGTACAGCCCACCCACAATAACTGGTTACTACACCTGGGTAGAGGAGAACTTTGTCCATGTCCAGGTGCCTCACCACGACTGTGTGGGCAACTGTTCGGCTGCCTTGGTGGGTTGCTGAGTGGGCAGAGACCAGCGGTACTCTGCCCTGATGCCAGTGCTACCACGGAAGTAGCCTGGTGGGAGCCTGGTTGTGGGAGGGAGAAACCGACTGTCTCCCCTCTGGATACACCGCTCTGTGGCTGGGGAACAGGACCGACTGTCCCTACTCCTTGTGCTGTAAGTGCAGAGACATCTGCACTGTTGGGGGGTGTAACATCTCCCCTTGCTGGGTTAGGCTGCCGCTGGAGAGAGGGTGTAACAAGCTCCTCTCTCTGAACTGTAAACTGCCGCTGGGGAGAGGGGGCATCAGGCTCCTCTCCCTGACACTCTCTCTGCTGGTGGAGAGGGGGACCAGCTGTCTCCCCTTTCATTATTTTGTCCTGTGGTTGGGGTGCGAGACTGACGGTCTCTGCTCCCTGCAGGACACTCTGCCGCTGGGGAGGAAGGACTGCACCTTCAGCTCCCTGTAACACACACTGCCCCTGGGGAGCAAGGACTGCACCTTCAGCTCCCTGGAGTACACACTGCCGCTGGGGAGGAAGGACTGCACCTTCAGCTCCCTGTAACACACACTGCCGCTGGGGAGCAAGGACGGCACCTTCAGCTCCCTGTAACTCACACTGCCGCTGGGCAGAGAGACCAATTGGCCACAGCCCCAATCTCCGCAATCGGCACTCACATTCCCATGCCTCTCGATTCTCCGCATCCAACTTGCGCACGGTTGCCATAACTGCCTCTGTTGAAGGATTCGGGCCATATCTGGTTAACCGTCTCATGACCTCATCCCGGTATGCATCGCCCTCAAAGCGATAGGTCATGTTTGCTGTGACCAGAGGCGCTGTACGAATACTAGCGTTGCCCTCAAATTGTAACTCCAAACGAACTGTGTCTCTGAGCTGCTTTACCTCGCACTAGGACGCCATCCCACCGCTGTCACCAATGTAACGGATCGCCTGGCACCCCGACTGGGTACCTCCGTTGAAGGATGCTCCTAGCACTTCCTGAGGACTCCAAGCACTCTTGCAGACACCACAATCACCGAACCGTAGGAGCATGTGAATGCTCTCAAGCATATGAATGCTGTAGACAGTTGAATAGGAACCATACGAATAGGTTTACTCCCCTAGCAGTCAAACTGGAACAGCATACAATAAATCCTCCCCCCCAATAATGAG